CCCCGACCCCCGGACTTGTGCAGGAAAAAACAGAAACAAAAAACACGATGGAAAATGACACAATAAGTGACTGTAGCCTGTAGCTGCCACAACACAACAGTGGCGAAGGAAGGCAGTGCAAGGAGCCGCCCCGCCGGTTGGTCGTCGTGGGCCGAGCTCGGCTTCCTAGTCGGCGGTAGCCGCCCGGCAATCATACGACACGAGGCTGTGTTTGATGGAAAGGAGGATAAAAGAGCCGAAACGCTTCCTCGCCATCGCCCACGTCGTTCTGATTCCAGAAACGAGGCGGCCGCGTCGTGCAACGTGACCGTGGCTCTCCAAAAGAAACCATTAAAAGAAACGCCACAAAAAAACGACGTGCGTAGTTTCCATTAGTGGCGGCCGACTCATTTGCTGGCCTGGCCACCGGCGCGATGTGCGGTTCGCAGTTCAGTATCGCACGCGCACCGCCATGCCGCTAGGGACGCCCGATATCGGCTGCATCGGCCCCAACATTGAACCAGATTTGTTGTACGGAGGGGCGGGGCTGGACGGCGGCGCCCATCCAGTTTCGACACTCTCGCGTAGGAGTTATTACAGAGCGACGGGTAGACAGGCCACAGCCGGAGGCCCGGTCCGGGCGCGGTGGGGCGGCCAAGAAGGTCACGAGGACGAGGAAGTCAGTCATTTGTTTGTCATCGGGTTCTTCTTCCCTGCGCGGCGAGCGGCGACGGGTTTGGACGCGGAATAGTGGACTGGATTCGAAGGAGGGTCCTCCCCTCCCCCTGAGTCACTTTGCAGGGGAGATCCGACGGTACAAGGGGCAGGGACTGCCGACGACTTGCTCAGGGATCATCCAGAAACTACGGCCGCCGACATTCGCCGTCACGAAATTTGCCCGTGTGCGAGCTCCCATCATAGCGCCTCATAGGTAGGCAACATCTCGTCTGCAGCGCATGCGTGTACGGCGGGGTGGCCTACCCGGAGTCTCGCAGGCGCCGAGCTCCCCAGTCATTTGGCCGCCGAATGAACCCGCCCGCACGCCTGCACCGGGTGTGGCCAGAAGAAAGAACGGCGCCGACGGGCCACCCTGTATATTTTCGTTTTCATGGCCACTCCCGCAGAGGCCGAGGAATGGACCCAATAATCCCAGGTTTGTTGCTGTCCACAAAACTCCTCC